TTCTACAATTATTATGAACATACGCTCTTATCATTACTCTAAACGAAGGCCATGAAGAATCACTCGTCCTTATTATCTTGTTTTGTTTATTTTGAATGTAAATTCTCTTTGTCAGCTACAATCATAAATCTAGATGAGAGACCAGAAATAATAGCAATAAAAGATATATGCAAAAAGAAATACAAAACGTCAACCGGAAAGTAAACAATATATTTATAGCTGAGCAAATCTTTAGAATTTACCTTAGAAGTTAGCATGAAGAATTGTTTAATGCTGTTCTTATTAAACCTACTTTTAGTGTGTTAAAAAAATTATTTTCTGAACATTTTGAATCCGAAGTGAAGCAAACGTGTTATTATATGTATAAAAAGTAAAATGTTCTAAATCTAATACACGTTCTGTTCGCAATTTTTTTCATTCATTTTTGATGTTTTAACGATTTTTTTGAAATACGTCAGTTAACACAATATGTTTTTGATATTTTAAAAAATTTTTTTTTACTGATATTTATGTAACATTGTTGATTAAGTTGCTTCTTTATTACTAATAAAATGGTAATCGTTTTTTGTATCTTAAGAGCTAAAATGTCATAACCTGTAACTAAGGTAAAGAAAAATTCAAAAAAATAACTTTAAACATATAATATTAAAGAATATTCATTCCTCTCATCAAATATACTATAAACAGTCTTTTATAGGTAATGACACTGACTACTACCTTAACAAACTTTATTTTTAATATCGGGATTCCGCTGAAAGAATGATAATCATTCAGGGTTTAGTAGACGAAAAAAATTGGAATCAGCTGCTTTGCAATCCTCTCATGATAAATCAAAAAATGGCATTTTATACATTATTTCAATGTAAACAGTACCTCTTGGAACGCGTGAATGGCATTTGCGCAAAATAAATATATAAATTATTTTTCTAAGTAGAACATATGTACAGCTTTGTAACAATCGAAAAAATAAAATTTTACGCATCTGAGCAAATTTCATTTTTAATTTTTAAACTGGTAAAAAAATTTATGCTTTCTATTTATTTCTTAAATTTAAAATTTAATTTAAAAGATTTTTGCTACCACTGCATATAAATAAATAAAATTTATTTAAAATATGGTAATTATTTAAAGCTTGCCAAAATCCCATAAAAATTAAAAACTATAGTTCCACCTGTGACAGTAATTTAAATTTCATTTTACTACCACTTGGGAAAATCATCTTCAAAAAGACAATAAGTTGGCAGGTCTAACACTTCAGTAGCAATTTCAAAACATACAGGGCTGCGAATCACATTTTCTTCCTTCTTACAGAAATGAATTCTGTAATAATTATAATAATCCCATTCCTGTAATATATTATACGATTTCAAATCGTAATTAATGAGTTTTCCGTAACTTATCGTTTATTTTAATGTTAAATTTGCTATACTCTAACAGGTATGCCACCTTTCTACCCTTTATGGGAAAATTTCTTCTAGTGGTAGCTAAGTTTATGTTTCAATGGTAGTTCTTTGCTTTGAAAATTAAATCATTTTCCACAACACTACATGTAAATGAATCAAAAGTTCATCTGAAACTTTACTTTCTTCTAGCCTTCTCGTAGTAAGGCTTTTAAAATGTTGGCAAAATTACGAAACATTTTGAAAACTTTAGTTTTTAATTGCCTACCACTCTATAAAATGCATTGCAAAAAGCGTAGTAGTAGGCAGCCTTGTAGATATTAACCAGTTTCAGAATATTGTTTCAAAAAGGCACCTTTTTAGTGATGTGGAAAAAAAACCGTTTTAATAAAAGTAATAAAATTTATTTACGCTTGCTTATACTAAGATGGTTTCTAGTGTTAGCTTTCATTTCTCTCTTGAAATATTTCTATCATTCAATTTCAGATTTAAATTATAAACTCATCGTGATGAGCACGAATGTCTTGTTTTTGCTAGATAAATTTCAAGAATAGAATAATTGATTCGCCAATCTTTATGCTTTTCAAAAAAAAAATTTTTTTTTGGTCCTTAACGGGTTAATATATTTCAGTAAACACGCATAATTTTCTCTATAATGTATTGCAAAACGGAAATAATTGAAAACCCATCTTTCCTTTTTGAGAAGTGAACACGAGTTTATTGGTTTGATATGGGTAAACACAACTTGCCAACATAATTGGAAATAAACAAAAATAAAATTTTCTTGGCATTAGTACTTATTTAATGCAGCTTATTCATTGAAGAAAAATAAACAAAAAATATTGTTTCTCAGGAATATTTTATTCAATACTAGCTGACTTTGATGACGACAAGCTTGGTCACCTTTCAAAATTATGTTGTACAACTTATACATTTTAATGGTAATAAAGCCGAAAGCATAGAGCAATTGTATTTAACGTTCTATTTCCTCAGCCCCTCCTCCAATCACAACACCTCAATTAGTTTTATTGAATGCATTAAAAATTTTTTAAAATTTTTTTTCCGTCTAGCTGTTGTTCGTGTCGAAGTATTTAGGTTTCAACTAGAACTATTTTCAAGAGTTGTCCGCGATATTGTAAATGCTCTTTAGGTATTTTAGTAATAATTTAAAATCTGTAGAGCAGCCATCAAATCAAACAAACCACATCACTGTCAACGGCTACTTTTTTTGTAAAATATTTCATAGGGTGGTAGACATTTAAAAACCAAATATTTCGGAATTTTTGATAATTTTGCCAACATCTTAAAAACCTCTCGACGGAAAAACCGGAACTGAGTGGCATTGCAAATAAACTTTCAAATCATTTATATATTGTTGATTAAACTAAAAGAATAATATAATTAAAATTCCAGAAAGAAGATTAGAAAACATTTTCTTTGATGATTTTTTAAAGTTGGGTATCTATTCTACCAGTAACGAAAAATTGCGTCACCTTCAATCCAAAATTTGATCATTTTTGACCTAATTAGTTTTTATGATTTAAATTCTCTAACGACTCCGAAATTGTGGAACAGGAATTAGTTTTCGGAAAGAAGTGGTAAAATCAACAAAACCAGTAAGTGAATTTTTTGTTTGAGATTCTCGTCAATGGGAGACACCTTGCTTAAAATTTACTGACAGTCGGAAAAAAATCATAATTTAGAAATAGATATGATGTACGAACCATAAATTTGCTTCGAATGATTTTTGCGGTCACGAGTTCTTATATTTTGAAATTAATTAATTTCATTTGTAACACACAGCACACAAGCCTGCAAATGTATGTAATTCCAATATACGAATACAGTTAAAAAGTTGGCAAATTAAAATTTTACAAACTTCAGTTGGTACTTCCCTACCGTTTTCTCTTATATTTTGTTGTATCCAGTGCAGTTGGTATCTCTGTTGGTATTGCCTTTTACATAATTTAACTGCATTTATTTTTAAATAGAAGGAGCATTCATTGCCCACATGGGTTTTAAGTGCTTAACATTACTCCTCATAACTCAAAGCAAACATGTTTCGTTTCAAATCCCAGCTGGGGTCTCTCACAATCTTTGGGTCTTTCTCCGAATAAAATTTTTAGCGTCGTAGTAGATTATAAGTATTCCATATCTGCCAACTTTTATTTAATCCGAGGATAACTTTCCCAAGTGATAGTAATGCAACAAACAACCAAATCATAATTTTTTACTTGAATAATTTTATATTGTGCTGAAACTTTAGCGCACCAATGACAATCACTTCGCATTTAAATGTATACTCAATTAAGTTTCATAAAATAAAGGTCAAATTTTTAAAAATATTCTATTTATAAGACAAATAATGAAAAAGAGGAGTATAAACTTTGATATAAAAATAAACTCTAAATATCAAATCACTTTAAATAAAAAAATAAACTCTTGCGGAAAATTCAGCAACGATGAGAATGTAATTTTGACACCATATTTTAATCTACCAGTAATTTAGGTTAACACATTCGCAGCTAGCTGAGTATAAGTTTTATCCTGTATTAGTCACTGAAGCGTGGTAATCGAATACGATAAAATCTAAGTTAATTTTTTTTTGTTTAGCATCTATTTTAGTTATTAAAATTTATAAAAAGTTTATTTCAATAAACAATGTGTTATAATCAGGAGAAAATACAATATTTTCTGCAAAAAAGTAGAATGATATGCATCTTACATTCATTTGCATACCTGCCAACTTTTTCCTGTGATAGTAAAATAACTATTGAAGTCATATTGAGGTCAAATTCTAAATCTAAATTTCTTTACATTTCCATTACGATAATTAGATGGTCTATATTATGTATGTTTAAACTATTAAAATGCAGCGGTAGTTAAAAGTATATTAAATTGATTTTGTTAAAACAAGAATCTAGCACGAATGCAAAAATTTGGCTATCTGATGTTTTGATTCATCACCGGATAACAATTGATTATTTTGTACAACTACAATATTATATAATACTGTAACACATAATGTTTAAAAAATATAGAGTGGAGCAAACTTCTTAATTCTCATCACGGCTTAAATATGCAGTATTATCAGTTTTATGTTTTATCATCTGATAACTATTAATTTTGTACAATAAATAATGTCGCTTTATGCTGAAAATTTCGTAACTCTCTCATCGCTGCGTAAGTGTGGCACATTATTTGTTTCATCATGGGATCAGCATTGATTATTTGATACAGCTGTAATATTATGTATGATATAATAATATATGATATAATAATATATGATATAATAATATAACATATTATGTATCAAAATATTATAGTGTGGAGCAAATTTCTTAGTTCTCATCACCGCTTATTATGCCTTATAATCAGTTTCATTATCGGACAATTATTAATTATTTTGTACAATTTCGTACAATAAATATTATAGCTTTATGGTTCAAATTTCTCAACTCTCGTCGCTGCTTAAATATGCCGCATTGTTTAATCATCGGAAAAACATTGATAATTTAGTGCAACTATAATATTTGTCATGATATAATAATTTAGCATATTATGTATAAAAAATATAATAGTGTGGTGCAAATTTCTTACCTATCATCGCTGCTTAAATATGCCGTGATATCCGTTTCATCATCCGATAACCACTGATCATTTTGCACAAGTTCAGCTTTTTGTTTATCTAATCTTTGCATCAAAGTTCGTCTTTTTGTCGAAGAATTCCATTGACCATTGTCTTCTTTTAATGGAGAAGTCCGCAAACGCATCTGGACGTCTAAAAAAACCACACACATAATTAACGATAGCCCAGTTGACACTACAGTGGCCCTCCACAATGTCCGTTGAAACTGTATCGAAACGATCATGATAGAAGATTTAAATGCGATTATAACTTAAAAGCATAAGATATTTGACTTGAAACAAGCACAAAACAATGCAGCATTATGTGTTATTAAATTTAATAACACTAACGTATTTCTCAAAATCATATCCAACTAATGAAATCAACTTTATAATCATGAATTTTGTATACACATAATTTTAAAAGTAAAAATAAGTACCCTGCGTAAGCGTTAAACTTCAGCCAACAAAATCTTCTGTGATATTTTGCATTATTGGCTACATATTTTTTTAAAAATTTATTTACAAACGCAGTTTTGAATATCAAATAATCATTTGAATAAGAAATTTCCTGATTGTTTCATTTTATTACATCAATGAAAAGGAAATGATGTCATATCTGTGAAATGTTTGACATTTTTTCTTGTTGCTGCATGAACTATAAAACACGTGTTTTGTACGTAATCGAAATTTGATTCACCCTAGCTACATACAAGAGAACTCACCATGGAATGATGACATTAAAAGTTTCGCACGGAGAGGATGGAGATAAATAGGGTTGCTTTGAGTGAATTCGCCAACTCTCGCCAAATTTCCTCAAGTTTTGTCACTTAGAATATATTTCTGAAGATTAAGAATAGTGGTTACTAATTTTTTACGGCAATGGATGCATAAATAAATGAGAATCTTTAGACGGAACCCCAAGCATATGAATGGATTTTTTTAGTTGCCGTGAACATATCGACGAAATATTTAATGTGAAGAATTAGTTTATTTACAAAATTTTTTTTATCAATTAAACTCATTAAAAAAAAAGAGATTTTATGTAAAACAGTTGAATCCACTGGACTGAATTACTATTTAGTCTAGTTCTGAATTTGTTTTTGGTGCATTTATAATTAGCTGAAAATGAATAATAATTAATTATGGTTTAATTATGGTTTTTGAAATAGAACTTTTATAAATGTTGAGAATGGTTATCAGAGAAAGATAGTTCGTTATTCTTAAATTTGGTGCTTATATTTTGAATTGAAAAATTCGACGAGAAAAACTGATGCAATTTTTTTACAAATTTTGCCATTTATTTTTTGACTGTCATTTTAGTTGAATACTTTCAGAAATATGAAATAAATTATGGTTTATTGTTTTGATATAAATATAATTACATAGTTCAAAATTAACTTCTGATTTGAAAAATTTAAATTCTCGGAACCATCTTTTTCAGCTAGTGTGGTTTTTCTAGTTTTGTTTCTCACCTTTATTTTTTTCCATTTTTTTCGTCTTATATTTCAAATTACCTTTGTTTCTACCAATTCACGTCTGGCAAGTTTTGAAAATGGAAGCCTATTTTTTTAGAGCTTGAAATATGCTGACCATTATTTCCAATTTGAATATTTTTGAAGCGAATCCAATTTTTAATCAATGAAATATGTCAGTCTATGAAATATATCAGAAATCAAATTTGAACAAAATGAAAGTACCGTTAAATAAAAGATAAATAATTTAGACACGTGTAAATACAGTAAGCTATAAAAATTATTTTGTTGTCAGTCACAAATTAACGGATACCAATAAGGAAGCTATCAATTAATTTTTGACAACAATGAGAAACGGTCATTGATAATTATCAAATTATGTTATAAAGACTAACATGTTTTAAAATCAGTATTAAGAAAATTCAAATTGACATATCGTTTCCTGCTTTTCGGTTTCAAAAGTAATCGAGTTTAAAATTGAAAAATAAAATCTATAATTTCGTGTAATAACTTTTGAAACAAACTGTCTAAAACGATTCGTGCGAATTCATTATTAGAAACATAATTTTCCTTTCTCGTACACACATGAAAAATACAACACGTGAACATAACTGAATACGATAGTTTTCAAAATTATTTATACATTCATTCCATAAAACGAGCTACAAGCAAGTAAATTATAAGATAAACAGAAAGGAATCAAGCTGAATAGTTCTAGAATTTGTGGTTTTAAGGGGAAAAATGTGTTTTTCTTTTTCTACCAAAAAATTCTTTCGCTGAAAGTAAATTAATAATTCATATCATTCACCGAAATTGTTATCTTCGCCATCAAGTTTTTTTTTTTTTTTTTTNTTTTTTTTGTAATATTTTTATCACGATTTTGGTATGCAAGTAAGTATCTTATATATTCAATTCTTTAAAAATGATTTTGCTCGGAAAAAAACATTTTTAACGTCCAACAGTCGTTTAATCAATTTTAATGGCAGTATCCAGAGGAAATTAAAACAGCTAAAAATAGCTATTGCTTTTAACACGTTCACGCCGGGAAAAGTGAAAATACTGGTAGAAGAACTATTTTAATATTAGATAATATTCCGGAGGAGTTAATCTGTTCTCAACAATAACAATTCACTGTAAGGAAATTTATCACGGCGAAGAAGCAATTCAATATAAAAATTGCATCCGTTAAAAACCATTGGTAGTTATGGATTTTTATTATTCCCGGAACAAAACTAAAAAATGTAATTTATTTGTTACCAGTTTTTACTCCGGTGCGCTGACAAGATGTGACAATCTAGCGTGACCCACCGGTGGGTCACCCCGGCGTGAACGTGTTAATAATAGCTATAGCGTACGCTGCGGTAAGTAAGATTTGAAATAATTGCGCATGCGTTCTTGAGGTGCACATGCATCAATTCTGGTGAAAATGCGTATCCTCCCGTGAAGAAACGTCAAACTTACGAAAATGAAAATAATAGATTTTGCAAGAACCTGTAAGTTAAAAACGTTAACGTTGTGGAATATCATCGTAACTTTGAATACAAAATCCAAACAAACATTTACAATGGACAAGGATATGATGCAGGATAAACATCTAACTAAATTGAGAAGCTAAAATAATTATATTCCATAATTTTAGAAAACGAAAAAATATTTAGTCTTTTTTATGGACCTATTGCAGTTAGACAACCAGAGATGCCAACTGCTCCGGACAAGCTAAAATAATTAATAAAACGGTAGATAACAACAAAGTAAATTTTTCAAATATTTGACTATTTTTGCTTGCTTTTTAAACGGTAAAGCATGGCATACATACTACAAAGCGGTGAATTATATAAGCCTACGAATTATTTAGAAATAGTGGTGGATAAAAGTCTACTAAATTGAATTTATTAAACCAAGAATCACAACTGATAAACTACCACTTTAAAATATATATTTGCTATCCGGAGCAAGTTGGCATCTCTGGACAACCATAATTTTAAACATAAACAAATAATATTAATCTTTTAGCGTATTGAGAATCTTGCGTATGGAATCTAAAATAAATTTGAGAAATCTCCCTATTTTTTTATGAGAATCGATTTCCCCCAATTTTTTCTTCTTCTTTTTCTATGTTTCTTTCTCTCTAGTTTTCTTTCTTGTTTTTGCGTCTAACTATAAAATTAAAACATTTGATTTTTTTACCTTGATTAGACAATGTTGTTTTTGTTTAAAGCCTTATTTCAGCTTCTGACTTTTTGCGTAAACAAAAGAAAAGCCTGGAAGAATATTTCCCCCCAACATATCTATCTTATAACGGTTAATTAAAGGTTATAATTAATTAATAATTATACTGTAAGTAAAAAAAATCATCAAATTAACTCCATCACCACTATTCAAAGTATTCCAGTCAGAATAGAGAGATTTAGGGGGGGGGGTCATGGACCAATTCAATGTTTTAATTGTCAAGCATTCCACCACACTCAAAGATCATGCAACGCTGCCTCAATATGTGTGAAATGCGCTGGCAATCATCGCTCCCATGAATGCAGAAAGGACAGACACACTCCACCAAAATGTTGCAACTGTAGTGAATCCCACACCGCAAACAACACTGGGTGCATAGCCCGTCCCACTAGGAAGGGCTCTCGCCCGATTCCCACAACAACAGCCGGTATGGCTCGCAGACTTGTCATAATAATAAAAGAACTGCAAGAACTCATAAAGAATGAAGAGGTACTCCAATTACTGCAAAGAATCATTAGAGATAATGCTCCATAATGTCATAGTCATGCCCAATTCCGGACTATTCATTCTGAACTCTTGCATTAGTGTAATATGTAGATTATCAAACTCTTCTTCAATGAAAAAAGTAAAACAGCTCAATTAAATTGCAAACTGTGTCCGATAGATGGCGACACCAATATTAAACAAAACTTCTGTAAATTTATCATATATCATGTTATATTTGTTTTACAACTTAAAATTACACAATTCTAACTTTATTCAATGCTAAATTGTCAATCGCATTTGCATATATTCTAATTTTACTCATAATTTATCACAACTTATGAATGCATCAAATTTAAATTCCATTCAATGCTAAAATATCAATTGTAATTGTTTATATATTAATTTAATTCATATTTTAATCACAACCTATGATTGCATCAAATTTAATACCAATCAATGCTTAAATATCAATTGTGCTTTTCATATTCATGAAAATTTCTGATTATTTCACAAATCATGACTTATATCAAATCATGTTTAATCTGTACTTGTTTATATATTAATTTAATTTCATACTTTAATCACAACCTATGACTGCATCAAATTTGATACCAATCAATGCTTAAATATCAATTGTGCTTTTTATATTCACGAAAACTTCTGATTATTGCATAAATCATGACTTATATTAAATATCAAATCATGTTTAATTTATCAAGCAAATATGCTTGATTTTCTGTAATGCTACCTAAATGCTGCATAATTTAAAATGTTTTTTAATTCAACTTGTAAATACTTCATTATGTATGGGTTAGGGGCCGCTGCGCGGCCCAGGCACCCAATTTTAGTTAAATAAAGAGAAAAGAAAGAGAGGATATCCTCCGCAGGGGTCTGATCGGACTACCTAAGAAAAACCGCGTGGAGGTTTTCAGTTGTAGGAGGCATTGGCAGTGGTGTATCAGCCGCTCGCCTCCCAATGAGGTGCCCCTGTTTCGAATCCCCAACGATGGCTGGCCGATACGAATTCTGAACACGGCTTACAGAGGCCACAGTGCAGAAATAAAATATCCTTAATGGTAGACGGATCATGGGTTAGGGTTTCTTTGCCATCAGACTAACCAAGAAAAGTTTTCATGGTTTCCCTCTCCCTTTAACGCAAATGCCGATTGGTTCCATCAAAAGTCCTCCACGAAGGCTAGTTTGTCCAAATACTTGATCTAGGAGTTCTCTTTTTTCTGGATTGGATTCAAAATTACAAGGCTACTGATTAGAACTTTGATAGTTGTAAATTCTGAATTGGGTCAGCTGTGCAACGACGTTTATAAAATAAAAATACTCCATGCTGGGATGCCATGGGTTAATAAAATTGTAAAAATTGAGAACTAATAAACAGCAAGAATCTATTCTAAAACTAGCTGCTAATCTAAAAATATGCTATCTATTCTAAAAATATGCTAGAAATGTTAGCTAAAATTAGCTAACATTTCGAGCATATTTTTTTCAGTGATGGTAAAGAAAGTTATTGTCTTAATTATGATTAA